TCTGCATGTAAGCACACATGCGTTCTCTCCTCTCTCTCTCCCTCCCTCCCTCTCTCTATATCTCTCTCTCTCACACACACACATATACATACACATATATAAATACATAAATAAAATATATAAAAAGATTTTTAAAAAAGAATACTATGCTAAGAAACACTGAGACTGGAAAACGGCCGTTGGGATTTAGAAATCTCACAGTGGAAACTGTTCTAAGTGCAAATTATGACCGTGGAGATGGCTCAGCAGTTTAAAGGTACCTGCTGCCCCCAAGCTTGGCAACCTGGTGATCCCTGGAACCCCTGTGGTGGAGAGAGGGTTCTCTCCCAAGTTGTCCTCCGACCTTCACATGTGAATTGTGGCATGTACAAACCCACATACATACACACATAAATACGGTTTGAAAAATGAAAATGAAATAAGAGTCAGGCGTGGAAGCACACACCTCTAATTTCAGCACTCCAGAGGCCTGGGCGGGAGAACAGAAGTTTGAGGACAGCCTAGGCTACATGGTATCCAAATAGAAAAACTGAGAAATAAGAGTCAAGAAAATAAGATGGGGCTGGGGAGATGGCTGGGGTTAAGGGCATCTGCTATCATGCAGAGGACCTTGGGATAATTTCCAGCACCCGCATGGCCGCTCACAATCATCTGTAACTACAGTTCTGGGAGATCTGAAGGTCTCTTCTGATCTTTGCAGCCACCAGGCACATACGTTACACACATATGTAAGGACAGGCAAAACACCAATACACAGAAAATAAAAAATAAACTTTAAAAAATTCTAAAAAAATAAAGCACCCGTCTGTAATCCTTAGCATGGAGAAGACGTCAGCAGGAGGGTTGTAATTGCAAGTTAAGTACAGCCTGAACTAACCTGGATTACAGAGCAAAATGTGGAGAAAAAAACAAACCAAACAAAAAACCAGCCAGGCATGGTGGTCCTGTTTGTAATGTCAACACCGGGGAGAATCAGGTAGAAAGACAGCTGTGGGTCTGTGGCAAGCCTAGGCTACATAATGAGTTCCTGGCTAGCCTGGGCTATGTGTAAGAGACTATTTCAAGCAAATAATTGTAGTGTGTGAGGGACAGATGTCAGGAAAAAAAAATGAGAAAACCAGAAGTGAAAGTTCACATACAAATGACTAGAGACTGCCGAGACAACAGGCAAAGGACATTCCCAGGGTTCCCGGAGAAGATGCTCCTGTGTTGTTTGTATTTAAAGGTTCAGAGACTCAACCTCACGGACAACACTCACAACAAAGAGAGGCCTCTCTGCTGACGGGAGGAGAAATGGCCAAGGGCCTGAGGACTGTTCAACAGCAGCAGCGGAAGCACAGGATGGGGCAATAGCTTCCAAACTCTGAAAATGGGAAAATGACTTCCACCACAATTCTACTATTAATATCAATCGAGCATGCGGACAGAACCAAAGCACTGGCCTTGCAAGGGCTCCCAAACTCTAACTTCTCATCGGAACCCTCCTGGACTTGGTACACCACTAGAGAGGGTAAGCCACTCAAAAATAACGCAGGCTACAGGAGACCCAACACTGGAGAGCTAAGGAAGCCAGCCATGTCCTTGAAGCAGAGGGTACCAGGCCAAATGGAAGCAGCACCATGTCCCAGGCCCTCTGGCAGCCTTCAACCTGGGCCTGCACGCCCTGGAACCTGGCCCAGATTCCCATCGCCATTTGGCAGGGCTGGCTCCATCTTGAACATATGCTGATGCTGCTGTCTCTCCTGCAAGCCCTGAGGCCCAGGCACTTGCCTCCCAGAGAGGTTTGGCTTGGATGGACCCTGGCAATTGCAGAGAGTCTCTGGGTGAAAGCTGAGGCAGAAATGACTGCATCTGCTGTCCGCCCAGGCCTTGGTACAGAGCCCCCAGATGCCCTGACTAAGCTCGGGTTCTGGGGCTCTCTCCTGCATAGCGCAGCTTTGACATCCTCACCAAGAGCCCTTCCAGGAGCCAGGCAAGCCGGAGCCACTCGGTCAGTTCAACTCTTCCTGAACGTTACAGCGGGGATGCCGTCCTTTCCTTAAGGTCAAGTTTGAATTTAAGATTATAAAAATGTAAACAACCGCAAGCCAGGAAGTTCTACATTCTCCAACAGTAAGGCTATGTAGGCCTCATGTGGGTTCTGGAAGACTTGACCTTGTTCTGACTTTATTTAGTGGACAGTTCCCTGTTGATAAAGATGAAAATATAGTTTATAACCTCTGAAGAAATTAACAAGGTATGATTTGGATTTATATAGCCTAGTAGAGAAAATTCATTCCAAATGTTGTAATTTTTTTTCTTGCCCTGCGAAACATAAGCCTGTTATACCTAACATAGCAACTATGAGACATTCTTTTCTCTACGAACCACATAAACACCTACTCCTTTAAATCTTTTTTTGGGGAAAAAAAGTTTCTTAATGCTTAAATAAAACTTTGAAACATGCTCACTATTTTTGTTTTTTTTCTTATTTATTTATTTTGGTTTTTTGAGATACAGTTTCTCTGTGTAGCCCTGGCTGTCCTAGAACTCTGTAGACCAGGTTGGCCTTGAACTCAAAGATTTGCCTGACTCTGCTTCCCGAGTGCTGAGATTAAAGGCATTTTTTACATCACTTGAAACGTTTTTTATTTATATGTGTGTATCTATGTGAGAGTATGCCTTATGTGTGTGGGTACCCTCAGAGGCTAGATGAGGGGGTTGGATTCCCTGAAGCTAGAGTTATAAGCAGTTGTGAGCTGCCTGACATGGGAAATGAACTCAGGTCCTCTGGACGAGCAGCAAGAGCGGCAAGGACTCTTTTTATAAAAAATGTAACTCACAAACTTTTACTCATTTGCTTTTTATTTTACTATTTATTTATTGTGCGTGTATGAGCACAGGGGTGTGTGTGTGTGTGCCCATGCAGAGGTTAAAGGTCAATGCCTCCTCTATTGCTCTCCACCTTATGAAGGTCTCTCCGCAGACTTGGTTCACCATTTGGGCTAGAGTGACTGGCCGGCAAGCCCCTGGAACCCACCTGTCTCTGATCCCCCACCTCCAGTGCTGGGGTTACAGCTCTGTGTGTGTGTCTTAAAATTCAGCTTTTACTTGCCTTGCAGTGGTGGCACACACCTTTAATTCCAGCACTTGGGAGGCAGAGGCAGGTGAATCTCTGTGAGTTCCACGCCAGCCTGGGCTACAAACCAAGTTCCAGGACAGCCAAGTCTGTTACACAGAGAAATCCTATCTTGAAAAACCACACCCACACCCACACACCCACACCCACACACACACACACACACGCGTGTCTGTGTGGAGTGCAGATGCCCACAGGGGCCGGAAGCCCTGGATTCCCTGGAGTGTGGCAGGTGGGCTGTCAGTCTGGTGTGTACTCCTTTCTGAGAGCAGGAGCAGCACTCTGAACCTCTGAGCCATCTCTCCGGCCCTCTACGCAGTCACATATATCAATGTGGACACGTGTCTTTATCATCTGTTGCCAAAAGCATCATGCTGTGATGGCCTCCTCAGGAGTACAACTGGAGGGACCAAGAGTGGAGAGTGAAGGAATGAGAATTTTGAGGATTTCACTTTTTGTTGACATTTCTTTGGGGGGGGGGGGCAGGGTTGAGGGAGGTTTTGAGACAGGGTTTCTCTGTGCAGCTTTGGAGCCACTCCTGGATCTCACTCTGTAGACCAGGCTGTCCTCGAACTCACAGAGATCCGCTTGCCTCTGCCTCCAGAGTGTTGGAGGCCTGCGCCACCGCCACCCGGCTTTATTTGACATTTCTGTATTGTCTGCATGCTTTACTTGGTATCCTTCTGTAATGTTTAAATTGTGTTTTTTACACATCATTTTAGCTTTATTATATTAAAAGGCAAATAAGGATTATACGAGATTAATTCTTTACCTCTGGACCCCAGAAGGGAATTTAGAAAACAAAACCAAAACACGGCGGCAGTGAAGACTACTAGCTGATACAGGAAGAAAGGGGAGGTCAAAAGGGCGTGTCTCCTGAAGAGGAAAAACTACATCCTCACCCCGTTCCAATTAAACCTGCTTTTCTTGCAGCATCGCTACGCAAATTAACCTCTGGGTTTCAATCTAGGATCGGAAAGTCCTTCAACACCATGCTCGGTGAAAGCGATAAATCGCTTGGCTCTGCTCTTTGGAAAGACAAACGGATTGAAGATGATGAGAAAGGCTGACAAGCCTAGGAACCGGCGCCTCTGGAATTATCTGGAAACGGGACTTGTGGTACAACTAGGGGGAAAGAGTTTGCGAGCGAGGGAAAAGGAGACTGTTTTTGAGTGAGCATGTCCACCACTCCAGAGAGAGGTTCGCGTTCCCACGGCCCTCCTCCCATCGCAGCAGCACCGTGGAAGCGAGCCCTCCCCTCCGCCGCCCCGGCTGGAAAGGTCAAGCATCTACCTTTCGGGCTGAAGTACCTTCCAGTGGTGAACTCGGAAAACCCACTTACGGGCCAAAAACCAAAATGGCCTAGCCCACACCGGCCACGGCTACGGCGACCACGGTCTGCGCTACTTCTCGGAAAAGGCCACTCAGGAGGAATGCCCAAAGACTTCCCTCTCATCCCTGCGCTTGCAGAGGGGACGGGAAAGTCAGGGCGACGCGGACAGTTCCTGGCAATGGCTCTCCGAGCAGACGGGAGGGTCGCTGGTCCCCAGACCCTCCTGGGGCCTCGGCGGCGGCGCCCCGCAGGTCGTTCCTCCCCTACCGGTCGCCCTGGGACGCTCCAGGGATCGAGATAGAAACCTCCCAGCCTCCGGATGAGACACGCGGCGGAGCGGCCTGCCCCGGCCGTGTCAGAGCCACGGGCGGCCGAGGGGACGCGGGCTCAGGCCGGCCCCCCCCTCACCCCACCCCCGGTCGCCCGCGCGCTGCTCCGCACCGACTCGGGCGGCGTCACCGCGCCTCGGGCCGTGCCGGGCCGGCGCCCCACGCTCGATCGGCGGATGGCGGAAGCCCGAGACCCGCCAGCCTCACTCACTCGGCTTACCTGCGACGTCCACACCGAACCCAGGCGGGCGCAGGGACGTAGAGGGTGCGCGTCGGCCGGGGCGGCTGCGGCCCGCTCAACCTCAGCCCGGGAGCCGGCGGCGGGCGCGAGGCCAAGGAACCGGGGAGGGGCGGAGCGAGGCGCCGTGCGCACCGCAGGGACCAATGGGCTTGCAGCAAGTGGCCTGCGAGGGCGGGCCATAACGCTGATGGGCGGGACAGGGGCCTCAGAGGCGGGGCGGGGCGAGACCCGTGCTCTCCGCGGCGACCAATCAGGATGCGGCCGGTGAGGCCGGGGCGGGGCTTGGTTCTTGAGGGCGGGGCTGGCGTGGTACTCTGCGGTTGTCCAGGAGCTGAAGTCTGGACCTGGCTGGCTGCGGTTTAGGGCAGTGTAAACCCAAGAGCCTCAACACCGACGAGAATACCTACGTGGGGAATTCAAGCCTACTACGCAAGATCCCTTTGCATATACGCGGGTGAGCATTGTTCACCAGCTGCCAAGAGTTGAGCATGTGCTCCAAGACACTCAGAAACCGAGACCTAAAACGAAGAAGTTATACGTCCAGGGATCCTGGTCAGTACTGGTTATCCACTGTACCCGCAAAATAACGTTAGACTGCTATTTCAGCCTGATGGTTCTTTTTCCATCCAGCCAGCCAGATTTTTGGCTTTTTCAGGAGCAAATCTCTACTGATCTCTTTTAAAGATACTGCCTCTGGATTTTCAGCATAACTTCAAAGGCCACATTTCCTACAGGATTTAAATACAGTTGAGGAAAGATGCCAAGTCCAAGTTATTACTAAATTGAATGCAAACACGCTTTTCCTAGGTAGAATAAAGCAAAAGATTTTTGTGTCATGTAACTCACAAATGTCATCCTGGATCGTGTTCTGTAGTTCTTGTATATAATCTGGGACTTAGGTGTCTAATAAACACTCGTTGCATAAATTCCTTTATGAAGTATGGGACTATGCGTGCACCCGAACAAGCAGGAGGGAGGACACAGAAGGGAACAACTCTGTAAGCACCTGTCCCAGAGCTAAGGGATGTAGCTCAGTTGGTATAGTATTAGCCTTGAATACACAAGGCTCTGGATTGTATCCCCAGCATCACATGAAGCAGGTGTAATCCCTACATTCCAAAATGTCCCAGTTTTGCTTTGAGAATGATAGGACAGACCCATGGTCCCAAGCAGAAGACTTCCTATTTCCAGCCAGACTGGATTACATAGCAAATCCAAGACCAGCCTGAAGTGAGAGCCTGTCTCAAAAATAACTGAGGATCTAGGATGTAGTGCAGTGTCTGTCCAGCATGTGCAACTTCGTTTCACTCTCCATCAGTTAAAAAAAAAATGGGACTGGAGAGATGGCTCAGATGTCAAAAAGCACTGGCTGCTCTTCCAGAGGACCCTGGCTTGTTTCCTAGCACCCACATGGAGGCTCACAGCTATCTGTAACTTTAGGTCCCGGAGATCTGCTTACCCCTTCTGGCTTCTCTGGACACCAAATATGCAAATGGTGCACATACATACATGTGGGCAAAACACTCATACGCATACATTTAAATATTATAAAAAAGATCAAGCCTCCATATGTGCTCTACTTGAATTGGGATTCCATGCATGTAATCATATACTTTGAGTTTTGTTGTTTTGTTGTTTGGTTTTGTTTTTGAGACAGAGTTTCTTTGTGTAACAGCCCTGGCTGTCCTGGAACTCGCACTGTAGACCAGGCTGGCCTCGAACTCACAGAGATCTGCCTGCCTCTGCCTCCTGAGTGCTGGGGTTCAGGGCGTGTACTACCACACCAGGCTTATAGGCTTTGTTAAATGCTCCTTGCCTAAGCACCTGCAGAGGCTCCCTAGACTGGGGAGATCTTGTAACTTGAGGATCCTTTTCTCCCTCGGACCAGGACTAAAAACCCACTTCACCAAAAATAGCAAATAGACTGAAAGAAGCTGGCCAAGAGAGAAGAGCAATTCAGGACGTGGGGGCTGGTCATGAGGGACTCCGTAAGTTCTGATTTGTCCCTGTCAGGATTTCCATGAACTACTTCTAACAGTGCAAGTCATACCCCACCATCTAAGAGTACAAAGCAAACACGGCATCACAAGAGCTAAAAGACCGAAATGAGCTATGTAAACATGGATGTGTGAACGTCCTCCAACACTCTCTCCTCCGGTAAGTTTACTGTGTTGAGTAACACACAGGCCTCAAGCTGCTGTTACACTGTGCCCACAGGAAGCTGTCTTGAGAGGAATGGCAGACTCCTTGTGAATACCATGTCCGCTTTCTTCTGAAATAAGGTCTGTGCTTTATCAATCATTTGGTAAAAAAAAAATACTGAAGCCAAGGGCTAGTCTAAATAACCTCTAAAGCTTTTAGTTTTCTGCTCTTAGTTGACTTAAACTAATTTTGGAAGCCACATGGCTGACCAATACAGTATTAGTCATCCACAGCTTTACTTTAGAAACACCTCTGGCATGTGGGTCATGGTGACAATTGCTGAAGTTACTCTTCAGAGGTCTGATGGCCACTTTTGTTGACAATGCCTCCCCCTTCACTTAGGCCTGCATAAGTGCCTGAGGGGTGACATTTTGATGACAGTGTCCTGGGGCTTTACCCTCCGATCACACTAATGCTACCATTTCCTTACCGTGTTTCATAAAGAGTCACATGTGCAGATGTGTCTGTGGGGATTGTCTTGATTGCTTCAGCTGATGTGGGCAAACTCAGCTTGAAAGAGGGAGACACTGTTTCCTGGTGTAGAGCCCTGGACTGTATAAGAGAAAGTGCGCTGAGCAAGGAGTATGCATGCATTCATTTCTCTCTGCTCTTGCTATAGGGTGAAAGGGCCAAGCCCACCTCTGGGTTTGAAAACTCACCAAAACCCACCAATCCCTGAGCCTGAAAATATGGTGATATTTTATTTGTACTGAAATGTGATTTTATTTGTATGTTAATAAATACAGTTGCCTGGGGGTCAGAGCTAATAGCAAGCCATAGCAGAAGCCGGGTGGTGGTGGCGCACACCTTTAATCCCGATCACATGACAAACATCTCTGTGTGTTCAAGGATACAGGCAGCCTGGAGACACACGCCTTTAATCTCAATATCAACCATAGAAGACCTGGAGGTCTGTATAGACAGGCAGAGACGAGGAGGTCATGTGGTTGGGTTTACAACCAATGAGAAGGCAGAACAGAAATTCAATAAAAAGACAGACATACAAGAAGTAGGTTGCTTGCTGAGGGGAAGGACAGCATCGGCAGTGAAGGGTAAGAAAGGGTTTTAGCCGGGCGGTGGTGGCGCACGCCTTTAATCCCAGCACTCGGGAGGCAGAGGCAGGTGGATCTTTGTGAGTTCGAGGCCAGCCTGGTCTACAGAGCGAGATCCAGGAAAAGGCGCAAAGCTACACAGGGAAACCCTGTCTCAAAAAAAAAAAAAAAAAAAAAAAAAAAAAAAAAAAAACCAAAAAAAAAAAAAGAAAGAAAAAAAAAAAAGAAAGGGTTTTAGTATCAGCTCTTAGCTACTGCTCTGACCTCTTGGGCTTTTAACTCTGCATTTGGTTCTGTGTTTCTTATTTAATAAGACGGTTACATCTACATGAAAATCTACTTCCTTGGGCTCAAAATCCCTCCAGTCCTTGGGCTTGCCTTGAAATCCCACCAATCCCCACCCTGGAAAACTCCGCCCCCAAGAAGCCCTGCCTCCTGCTCAGTTCCCTGATGCTCCTCACCCAAGCAGAAGCAGCCACCTTCTGTGTCCTTACCAATAAATCTTTCGTATGTGGTTTGTTGTGCAGTGTGACGTTATGATATTCCTTGGCTCCTGACTGCCAAGGGACCTTTCCCCTCAGAGCTGCAACACTGAGCAGTAGATATGACGTGACTAGTCATTTTAAGTTCCTGCAGCCTTGACTTCTCTGATGGACTGTAACCTGAAATCATAAGTGACGGAAACCCTCTCTCCCCTAAGTTTCTTTTTGTCAGGGTGTTTTATTTCAGCAACAGAAAGGCAACCAGGACACAACCAATGCCTGAGAGGTAATTTGCTTCTGGCAGAAGCGGAAACATTTCTTTCTGTGATGGAGGTTCTAAACACACACATACACACACACACACACACACACACACACACACACACACACACACACACTCAGAGGGAAGGAGGGAGGGGGGAGAAAGAGTTTCAGAAGTGGTATGTCATGACTTGGCTATTCTACTGGTCACATAGATCAAGTCCAATACAATGTTAGAAGGTATTGTTCAAAAAACATAAATATCCTCAGGGCGGTGGTGGCACACACCTTTAATCCCAGCACTTGGGAGGCAGAGGCAGGCAGATCTCTGTGAGTTCAAGGCCAGCCTGGTCTACAGAGTGAGTTCCAGGAAAGGCACCAAAGCTACTCAGAGAAATCCTGTCTCGAAAACAAAAACAAAGAAACAAACAAAAAAAACCATGAATTTCAGAAGATGGGGACCACCGAGGATATCTTGAAGGCTGGCTACTACCCTTACTTATTTAGTAATATTTTTTTCTAAATTAAAAGGGACCTCGAATTTCTTCTGTGTTTTCACTGAGCACCACAAATGCAAACTGCAATAGCTGTGCCATAAATACAGGTAACTCGGACACCAGCGGCTCGGCAGATGGCTGGATTGGCAAAGTGCTCGCTGCACAGGCATGAGGCCCCGGGTTCGATCCCCAGCACCCACATAGAAAGCAGGCACAACAGTGTACGCCTCGAACCGAGTGAGGGGAGACAAGAGAACCTTTGGGGCTCACTGCCCAGTCAGACAAGACAATCATCAAGCTCCAGGGAAATACCCTGTCTTAAAAAAATAAGGTAAGAGTGATGGAAGAACGCACTTGACATTGACCTCTGACCCCCGCAGGCACCAACACACATGGACACGTACACACGCATACATGGACACACACAACCGCACATTTTAATATGTCTTTCTGGGTACCACTCATAGTGACATTCCCAAGAAAATGAAGCACACTTTTCGTACCAAATTCACAGTGGTTTGTATGGTCAAAGTGTTAGCATAATTAATAGCAAGCAAATAACATGCTGCCTTTATGTGTAATATAATTCCATGGTAGGCTTGGGTAATGAGCAGGCTTT